AGGATTTATTTATGTTATGTGGGGGTTTATCACACATTCATAGGGTAGATTAAGTAAGATTTGGGGGTAAATATTCAGTCTTACTGTTAATTCTTGTGTACATAAGTGCGTTTGGTATTGTAGGTCAGCTTGAATAATGTTTTTTTTTTCTTTTTAGGGTACATATATTTGGGCTGTTTATTATCTATTGTGGTGTTTGGCAGGCAGATAAAAATGAACGACTGGTTGAGCGGTTTGTTCAGCTGGGTGTGCCGTTTGTTGTGAGTGCCAAAGCGGGTGAGTATTGATCCCAACACTCACTACTCTAGGGCCACCCGTCGTCGTCTCCATCCTCTCTCTGAGCACTACTGTAGTTTCGTTTTCTGTGTATTATGGTCTTTATCATTATTTATTAAGCATATAATTTGGATCTTTTCGGTTTAACGAACTGCAACTATTTTTAATGAAACATATTAATCTGACAAAGTTTTACAATGAAATTTCGAAAATCTCAAATTTTTGGACACCTTTGAAAACCTTACCTAGCCTATAAAAAGGTTAAAATTCGCTTTCGAAAACACCGTTATCATATATTAAACATCGAAAACACAAATAAGGTAAGCTTTTTTTTATAATTTTAGGACTTTTATAGGTTAGGTAAGTTTTTTGTGTGCGTGTTTTAACTCCACATTTCCTCTATTTCAAAATCCTGCCCATACGCCATGATTATCTCCTTAACAGCTCGCTCATACCTCTACATTCAGAACTCTAAATATTTCGTTTTTATTTTTATTTTTTTTAGTACTTTCTACTAATTTGTATTTTTTTTTAGACATTTTCGAAATTAGAATGTAAAACTACATAAGATTAATGTGTTTTTATTAATAAAATGCGGATCATCATATCTCTTGAGGGATATTTGCTGAAGTTGTAAGTCACCAAGAGACTGGATACTATGATTAGAACCAGGCTCCTCATCCTGATCCTGGAATCCACTGAAATCAGACTGAGTAGATAGAGGTTTTTGTAGACTTTCTACTGCCCCACTGTCTGGAGGGTCCAATAACTTATTTTTCTTAGCAGAAGCAGTCTTGTCTAAGTGGGGATTAAGTCTTTTACCTAACACCAATAATCCTACACTTTTTGCCAACTTGGGATCTTTCCATTGTTGTACATTAAAAAATTTACTCTTCAAGGCCTTATTCCACCTATTTTTAATTTGTAATTGCAATAAATCTTTCTTATCACCTGTAGCTTGATGAAATTGAAAAATTTGATTATAAACTGCACAATCCATTGGTGAAAATAGTTTATTTGAGATACAGCTGCCATGAATTATGCAAGCCACATGAGGATCTATCTTAGTAATCCAAGTCGCTTTACATTTGTTATAATTATATGTAGTATGGCCCCCTTGGGTCTTGGGTGAAAATACTATTACTGAATTCAAATTCTCTACTGACAGACAATTCCTTGAATGTAGTGCCTGAGCTGAACTTTCTAGTCCTTGTAGCTCATCACTCAATAGTATCTCCTCAGGGACAGTTCCATAGTCTCCTCCATTATCCATAGGCCCGGACTCCTGACCTTCATCCTCCAGTTGCTCATCACTCACCTGAACTAGGAGGATACCATGAGTCACATTATATCATTATAACATAAAATAATAATAATAATAATTAATAAGGGAGAAAGCATTTTCTCCCAAACTTAATCAATCTGACTCATAAATGTTATATTATTCATAAGTTAATGCATTAAGATCTCTTATTGCTATACAAGTCACTCATATGACAGATATAAACAATAACTCACTATTTAGTAACTGTCTCCCACTCTTATATCAAACTATCCCTTAGCTCAATGGAACTTATTTATTTAAATTTGTTTTTATAAAATAATTTCATTCAGAACATTTATTGAGAGGGATCATCAAGATCTTTTTTTGTTGCCAATCAGGGGCACAGACATTATCCCCCTAGTAAACACTTTAAGGGAAAATTCCTACGTGCGCACTATCACCCGGCAGGGTTGACAGTGGCAGCAACGTTCACTGTTACTCTAGCATTATTTATTGGGTTGAGAATTCCACCCTGAATTGGTCTCATATAACCCATAGAAGGTGCAAAGTCCATTTCAACATAACTCTAGATTGCTAGGAAGACCGGAAGGTCAATATTCCGGAAGGAACGCTAAGTCTAGCAGCCTCGCTAAAGTTCGCCTGGAAAGGCTGAACCCGCTACTGAGGACATCAAAAAATAAAGTTATGAAGAGACAAACTCAACTCTGGTTTTTTGCTGAGAACAAATAGAAACCCAAGGGCGGAAGCCCAAAGGTTTTTGTGAACGAACATAAGAGTAGGGAGAGAGATTTCATGGTATTCATATTAGCACGTGAATAATTGGGACAAAGAGATCGTAAACAATATACCGGTACATATATATGTCTATATAAATAGATATATTCACATATTTTCTTTTAGTGAAGACGAGCCCGGGAGGGCGCAGCAACATTCACTGAGTGACTTAAAGGCAAGGGATAGTCGCAACGATCTAAACTACTCACAAAGAAAATGTGTTTTGGTCGCCATGCTGACCAAAAGTCGTATAAGAATATGTCCCAAATACAATAAATGAGAGACATAACAAAATAAAAGTCACTCTACTTCATCACTGTGCTAAGTACAAGTACCGTATATAATATCCTTGCGGTGGTGAGTATTTCAGCAATTAGAACACAAATTCGCGGAGCTTCCCTTTGTGTGTATTATAGCTGAAGCGCCAGACAAGAGATGAGGTTCGTGATGCGTATAGTGGGGGGTGAAGGAGGGGGTTTGAGAATTGCAATTAAATGCCAGGTAGCGACGTGTCCTCCTAATATTACTTAAGTAATTATTAGATGTTTTAATTGCCTGTACAGTCAGTTCTGCTATAATGCGATAGTTGTGTTCTTGTAAAATATCGTGTTATAGAAAATCGCGTAATAGAAATAACAGGACTTATGGAGAAAATAGGGTTAGGTGCAGATTACTACTCGAAATCGAAAAAAGATTAGTAGTTAGCCTAACACAAAGGATAGCACAGTCTAAATAAATGTTACATTCATATCTAATAATGAAATCATACAGTAAATGTAACACTTTACCTTGAAAAAATATGAATATAACTTGATGGGGGAGAAGGGTGATTTTGAGGTTGATAACATCGAGCTTCTCTTCAAGTGTTATATCCTTTCTTTTACCATCATCACCGGGAATTCGATCACCAGAACGCTTCTTGGAGATATTCTTCTTTACCATATTCACAGTTAATACCACAAAATTGGAGAAATAGTAAGCAAAAATCGCGTTACAGCAAACAAGCGTTCGCGTTATACAAATATCGTTCCTCTATTCATAAATCGCGTTAGAGCAAATTCGCGTTATCAAAACACGCGTTATAGCAGAACTCACTGTATGTTGGCCTGGCGAATTGGCTAGGAATTATCATACCTAGGTAGCATTTGCTGACGTCGCATTCAGAGCTTGAACAAAAAATATTTTATTTGTTTTTTTTAATCTAAATTTTGTTATTCTATGTAGTTCATTTTTAATCAATATATGTTTGTGGAATTCTAAATATATTATTAACAACACAAACAATAGCATTCATTAAAAATATACGGTTCATAGGAAAACCAGGTATTCATGAATTTCAAGGAGTAGCTAGCCTAATTTCTATCACGCTTCTTGCTGAACATAGTTTTACGTGATGGAATAGATAAACATGAATTTTAAAGAATGAAAATAAAAATAATCCAAATGAATAAACAAATAAATAAAATATTGTAATGTGTGGAGGCCCCCAGATTGTGGAGGCCTCTGGGCAGCTGCCCACTTTGCCCACTCCTGAATCCGGCCCTGAGTATAAATCTTTGCTTAGAAAAAGAAAATACTTGTTGAACCCTTCTAATCTGGTACGTCTTGGTCCATCAAATTCTGGGGTCTGGCATGATTTGTGATTTGCTGTTTTGCCATTAGTTTGTGAAATGGTTTGGGGGAGGGAGTCAACCCTCTTCCTGCACCAGTCTAAGCTCCCAGTGTTCTGTACCTTTATTTAGTTCTAATTTACCCTTCAGTATGGCTTAAAAGAGACCATCAAATGGTGGAAGTGATGGTAAGGCTAGGTAAACTGCAGCAGGCATATGTAAGGCACAGTAGCTAAAATAACTATCTGTGAATACTTTGTGGGAAACAATGGACGATAAATTTTGGTATGCGAGGGCTTTCACTAGTCACATAAAATTTTGGAGCATATCGACCCCCACCTGCACAGTTAGTTGTTTTAACTACTGTACACCCACTAATATTCTCTAAGCACATCTTATTTAAAAATTATTATTGTATTTGATAAATTATTGCTTTCAATCCAAATCCACCAAATATTAATACAGTATATTAAAACATAAATACTATATATGGAATATTTAGCCAGGTTATTGCTCCCTGTGGGGATTGGTGTGCAGCAAATTTTGAACAGTATCCATGCTGCTTTTGTGATGAGAATTATTGCTGTACAATGTTATTAATTTTATTTACACTACGTACATTATTTTGTATCTTAATGTTGCTTTTGGGGCAAAAATGGGAGTGTATAGTATTTGTTGCTAGGAACACATCATCAATTTAAAGCATTACAGTACAGTACGGTATTTGAGTGGACGGTAAAGATTTTTTTGACCTGAAATGTATTTCTATTTCATTCATTGTATTGGTAGAGTAGTGAATTTTTTAACCTCCTGTGGTTAAAAAATTTAAACGGTCCTGAACTTGCGGGGTTAGAGGGGTTCAACCGGTACTGTGCTAAGAGAGAAATAAATGCTTTTTTGGATGACTACTTGTTCAGTATTTAATGCCTTTACAGTATATACAGTTCAGTATATTCTTCAGTTTTTAATATGCAGTACTGTATTCATGTAACTCATCACTATAAACTGTATACTGTACATGAGCTAGATTTAATTTTGGATTCTCTTTGTTTCAGGTAAATGACCGAAATTTTGCTTCACAATCACATGTGTTCAAAGACATAGGGGAAGAAATGTTGCAACATGCCTTTGAAGGTAAGTTAGATATTCTAAATTCAGTTTTATGATTTTAATAATGTCAATAAGAAATTTATGTACTGTACACAAGAATTTTTTTGGATAGTACTGCACCTGTATTTGATGACATGCTTAAGAATGTAATTTTCTACATTACAGTATTTTGAAGAAGTTTGTATGCAGTACCTTTAAAAAAAAAATGGGGAAAACCCTCTACAGTATAATTACAATTTCGGTACCTGTACAGTCGTAGATTTGTTTAGAAGTTTACATGTTATAAGTACAGTATAGTCTGCATTTACGCGGATTTTGTTTACGCCTTTGGTCATTTACGCGGCACCTTGCCAGAATGAGAATTTTGAATTACGCGGTTCATTGCATCATTTACGCGGGAAGCGGCGCGGGCAGGGTGCACATTAGGTCGCTCTTCCGTTATCGCTGACGTCATATGACGTATCGGACTGTGATTGGGCTACGCATCCTTACCACCCTCGCATTCCCTCCGCCGCTAGCTGTGATTGGTCTAATGTAACATGACGTGCCCTGCCACCAGAGGGAAGAAGTCGCTGACCTAGCCGGGCCAGTCTCATTGTTCTCAGTCCGCGTATACAGTTATCTCTTGTGCCCGCTATTCCCCTCACAATGGCTTCCGCTGGACCCCCACCACCCCGGAAAAACCTTGAATTACCTGGACCAAGCCATGGTTATGTGAAGGAAATCATCGAGTTGGGGGAGAAAATTAAGCTCATCCTTGACAACGACCCAGTCAAGCATCGGTATGAAATGTATCAAATGTTCCCAATTTTTCTGGTTGATTTTTGCATTCGACACACGCTGCTATTCTGGTGATATCTATCTCGTTCTTTTCTCCATGGCTTGAAACAATTTTGGGAATACATTAAAAAGATATCCTTTTTCTCCTTTTTATATGAATTACAGTATTGTGACAGCCAAAGACAACACACGAGTGTACCATCATGCATGATTCAATATTTATCAGCTAAATTAACCTCACTTCGCTATAACTACTTCCAAGATGGCAGAGGTACTGGTGATGTTATCTGCAAGCTAAGAATACCAATACATAAGGTATTTGTTCTTATGCCTTTTGAAGTGAGTGTGATACTTTCACCTATTCCTGCAATTAATTACAACAAGCTCATTTGTAACTAGTAATGATGATACAGTACTGTATTTAAGTCAACTAATAATTTATATTTCAGTTTATCATCTTATATGACAGGTGATATTTATTTTTATTTTTTCGTTTTTGCACAGGTTACAATGTGTGCATTTTTGCCTACGGTCAGACGGGAGCAGGGAAATCCTATACAATGATGGGCAAGCAAGAGGAAGGTCAAGAGGGAATCATTCCTCTTGTTTGTAAAGACATGTTTCAGAGAATTGCAGACTGCACAGATGGAGAACTACAGTATTCTGTTGAGGTACAAAGACATTTTATCATTCATTGAATTTTGTTCTGTTCTGTATTTGATTTGTCTACATGCTTCATCCTTGACTTATGTCTTGGACTGACAGTAAATTAGTTGAAGAAATACTTACAGATATCTGTTTACTGTTTGTTATTGATTGTAACAACTACAATTTTTAGTGTGATAATAGAAAATTAAAATTCACTTTCATGTATACAGTACAGTACTGCATTAGTATTGTTTGAATTTTTTAAAGTAATACCCCCCCTACAGGAGATTGTGTAGGATTTTAGAACAGTATGTTGTTAGTACTGTAATAGGAATGTATGAAGAAAGTTACTCTATATTCATGCATCAGGATTGTTTTTATTTCTACACTGAATCAGTGTTTGTGTCAATTGCAAAACATTAGGTTTGTTAAATATTACAATGTTCTAAATGCATTTCTTTTGGAGTACAGTATCTGTATTATAGTTTATACTGTACTTCATAATAGGGATTTTCAAGTGATGCAATGATGGGTTACCTTTAATTGAACAGTCCTAAATCTTGACCAAACTGCCCTAACATTCACCTCAAGTCAGTGAGCAGTACAGTACGTGTATGTTTGAGAAGTTTACAGTAATAATTCTAATAACAGGTGAGTTACATGGAGATCTACTGTGAACGTGTACGAGACCTGTTGAATCCAAAGAAACAAAACAATCTCCGTGTGCGTGAACATCCTCTTCTGGGTCCATATGTAGAAGACCTTGCAAAATTAGCAGTCACAACATATGAAGATATTCACAATTTAATAGATGAAGGTAACAAAGCCAGGTGTGTATCCCATATAACAGTTTAATAGTAAGTAATGTACAGTACTTTAATTTTCACGACTATAAGATCACCCTCCAAATTCTAATATGCCATACAATCGATTTGTATTTTAATATATCAGTTGAATCAGTGTAGGTCAATATCATTTAACTTTACATAAGACTTTTATGTTTTGATTGATATCAGGAAACATTCTAAATGTATATCTCTTACATTATAGTTTTACTTATTATTTATTGTAAATATTTTTTACAGGACAGTTGCAGCAACCAACATGAATGAAACATCATCACGTTCCCATGCAGTATTTACGATTGTGTTAACTCAGCGTCGAAATGACACCACCACCAAACTCTCATCAGAACGAGTTTCTAAGGTAATATGCTTTTCCTGTACAGTATAGTGTGTTCATATTTTCTCATTATGCTTATCCCCTTACTTGTATCCTGTGGACCACTTGATTATACTGTATTAAGATTTTGTTATTGGTTGTACACGTACAGTCTCTCCTTGACTTACGACGGGGTTCCATCCCGACGACCAGGTCGTAAGTCGAATTGGTCGTAAGTTGAAAAAGCGAAAATGATACATAGAAATTCTAAAATGGGTGTCTCTTTTTCTTCTCAGCACCACGAGAACTCTCACTTTTATGCTTGCCAGCCATTTTAAAGGGTATTACAAACGAAAATTTGGTCAGTACACAGCGCGATCACTAACGTCGGGACTCGAAAATACGTAATGTGAAAAATATTTTATACGATCATAGCCGTCGTATGTCTTGGTTGTAGTAAGTTGAATATGTCGTAAGTCGAGGAGAGACCTTACAAGCACTATCTGTGTAGTTCAGTAGATAATGAACTCATCATCCTGTTTGCCATAGATTTATTTCTTTTCGTATGAAATAGCATAAGATTTTCAAGAGTAACATTCCTGGAGAAAGATCAAGATGAGACAGGAAAATTTTTGGAAGGAATAAGAACACTTATAAAAAATATAATCTGTTTATAGAACTGTTGTATGAGAAAATAATCAGTGTTGGTCGCTGAATTTGCTTACCAAAAGTGCTCATGGTTGGTGTTCTCATTTTTTTTATTAACCCTTTGGCATGTGGGGTTTGGGTGGAGAGCATTTTCCCAGGTGGTATTTTTTATTAAAAACATAAAACCAATTTATTGCTAATAAACCTTACTCCAAGTCACAAAATACTGAAGAAATATTAAAAGATGCAACAATAAGGTGATCAGAAGATGTATAGCATCCAGTGTAACATAGTTATTGTACTTATTTTATTTACTTTCAGTATTTTCTTAGTACTAAGAGACACTCATTTAGGGCATAGGTGCATGGAATTTACCAGTACAGTACAGTACAATACTTTATAAAAATCACGTGTGTCTCTTCCCCCTAAAAAATGTCTGCTGTATTTGCCCTTTATTATGACATTACTCAAATTTTTGAGAAGCATGTTGGAATAATTTATTATCTCTTTATTTTTATATATTGGTCTCTAATAAGGAAAATGTTCACATCAGTTTATTAGGACCCTACTGGAAATAGGTGGGTAGTCTGTGGGTAGGTGGGTAGTCTTACAATACCTTGGGGAGTAGTGGTCCTGCTTTGCCAACTGTTCCCATCCTTTGGGTTGCCATTAGGAAGGGCATCTAGCTATAAAACTTTTGAGTCAACATGCCGGATGGCAGCCAGGTCAACCAGAGCTGTGCCCATCCCCTGGTCTCTGCTGCATTTTCTGGGCTGTCATCCTGTCTGCACAGTGAGTAACAGGTGAGTGTTTTGTAGGCTGGCACTTCTGCTTGATAGTACATAAGCCTGAACTCAGGGGTAGCATCCTGAGAGAGTACTCCATGATCAAGCACAATATATCACACCCAGCTTAAGTGTCATTATTGCACATGGAAGAATGCACCTGAAGTTGGTTGTGGTGCATCACCCCGAGGCCACTGGACTGCTCTTGCACCAGCATCAGGGTTACAAGTGTGCCAGTACCCGGATTTGAAGTGGGGGGGGCATCACGTTCTGGCTGGTACCCAACTTTTAATATAATCATGACAAACATTACAATGAATAAATATAAACCTGCCACACTAAATCACCCACACAACACACAGATGAATGTCACAAGAAACTGTGTGTGTGTCTGTGATCAAAAAGAAGGTACATGACATAGTTGGGTTCAGAGGTGGTAGAGTGAACATACCGGTACTGTAGGTATGATGCTTGGAGGGGAGCAGGTGAGATTGTGGAGACATTGAGCCACAGAAAGCTTGATGTCTGCTGCATGCCAAAAATGAGGTAGAAAGGTGGCTCAGCAAAGATTATCTCTGGTAAGAATGATAGCTACAAGATGTTCTGGAAGGGGAGTGAATTGGGAACTGGTGGTGTAAGGATCTTGATTGTCAAAAAGTGGGCGAAGAAAGTGCTATGAATGAAAATTTTTGAATGTTAGATCTCGATTGAATGTTAGAATTGTGGTTCTGAAGCACGAATGAATCTGGTAACATTCATATCTGCAGACATCCCATAAATTGGGCTAAGTGAAAAAGTGAAGGATGGGTTTTGGGATAAGTTGTTGCATGAAGTGTTGGAGCTGGGTGAAAGAGAGATTGTAGTATTAGTTGTTGACTTAAATGGTCATGTCAGCTCACACACTGAGGGCTTTGAAGGTGTACATAGAGGAAAAGGCTATGGCACAAGAAATGTGGAAGGGGAAATAATACTTGAGTTCGGGGATGCATTGAACGTGGTTGTATGCAGTACTGTACATTGCTTAATAATAGGGTGAGTAGGTTGATTATGTTTGAGTAAGGTGAATCAAAAACACAGATTGATTACTTTCTCTTTAGGAAATCAAACAGGAAGCTTGCTTGTTAGAGTTGTAAAGGTTATAGCAGAGGGGGAAAGTGTAGTTCTGAGAAGGAAAGTGTGGAAATTGAGGGAACAGAATGCAAGAGAAGCATTTGATGCCGAGTTGTGAAGACTGGAATCACTCAGTGACAGTGAGAGTGCAGTGAAGTGCTGAGTCAAAGTAAAGGATACTTTGCTGAGAATGGCTGACAAGATGTGTGGTTGGATAAAGGGCCCAGCCAGGCATGCAGTAACATGGTGATGGAAGAAGACACAGTGATAAAGGAGGCAAGAAGATTGCATAAGACCTGGAAGATGGGTGGTGACAAGAACGAGTACCTGGAGGCCAAGCATAAGGCCAGAAGAGAGGTTTACAATGCTAAAAAACAAGGACAGATCACATTCACAATATGTTGAATAGATCAATCGCAAGGGAAAAGGTATTCAGAATAGCCAGGCAAGTAGTGGGTAGAAACGAAAATATTGTTGGTGAGTAGTGCATCAAACGGGGTTGGTGAAATGAGGAAATCAGGGATACCTTGAGAAAAATGCTTAATACTATGATCAACTACTGAATGAGGTGTGTACGGGTAAATGGGACGGGCAGCCTATGGGTATTAGAACCAGTACAGGGACTATGCCCAAGGATTGAAAGAGAATGGGTGAAGAAAATAATGGACAAAATACGATTAGAAAGCAGCTGGAATCTCAGGGATAGTTGCAGAAATACTGAAAACATCAGGCGATGTAGGGGTGTCAGTGGTGACCCAATTGACTAATGCAGTCATGGTGGAATGTACTGTTCCAGATGACTGGAGGAAGAGTATGATTGTGAATGCCTACACTTGAATGTGGGAACTACAGGGGTCTAAACCTGCTAGATCAGGTTATGAAAATTGTTTAAAGAGTGATTGAGAAATTGATAAAGGAGAGAGTAGACATACTGTAAACAAAATGCAATTTGGATTTGTGCCAGCCAGGGTGACTATCGAAGCAATATTTATGACCAGGTGTTTACAAGGTAAATATCTAGGGAAGGAGAGAAAATTATACTTTGTATACATAGACTTAGAGAAGGCATTTGACAGGATACCATGTGAAGTAGTAAAGTGGGCAATGAGAAAGCAAGGATTCGAGTGGCTTGTTCGAGTGATTATGGCATTATATGAAGGCTCAAAAACCCTTGTGATAGTAAGTAAATGGTGAAGAAATTGAGGTGAAAGTAGAGGTCCCATCAGGGGTCTGTCTTGAGACCCCTGATTTTTATCTTAATGTTGGACAAGAGAGATTCAACCTGTACTGTATTGGGATATTTCATTGCCACGAATAGATGGTATCCCTGATTTCAGGTACATTTTGAGAACCCCTTATTTATAGTTTAGATTTACTGTACGTATATGTAATCATACATGATAAACATGCATCAGTTCTCATTTCCATAACATGTTCAATATTTTCTGTTAATGTACAGCATATTATATTGAGATATTTTTTGCTCTTTGCAACTGCATTTTGAAGAAATCACCATTTTTATTGCTACAATGTAGTTTAAGGAAACAAACTTATACATGTTGTTTTAGGTTGGTTAAATAAATAAAATTTAATGAATGCAGTCAGTGTGTATTCCTTAAAAATGCTTTTTGTGAAATCGGTATGAGCTTTGAAAAATCTTTTATATATGTCATTGAAATTCCTCTGTATTATTCTTGATTGTAAATATTTATATAGTCTGTATACTGTATATATACAGTTTACAGTACTGGTACTGTATATGTAAACTTGTTATAGCCTTGCTTGTTATTCACCTCCTCTTAATATGGGAGGTTCAGGTATTTAGAAAAAATGGATGAGGGGTTTGGGAAATTGTTGGGGGGGGGGATAAGAAATAATAACAACTTAAACAATTTGAGTTGTTAATAATATGAGATTATTATAAAGTTGAAGCTACAATGCATACAGGTTTAAAGATCAATCCCCCTTTTATGTTTTTAGGTAACAAGCACATTACACACTGATAGCTTCAATTTTTACTCAAATATAATTCAACCATTTAATGGTATCTTTTTTTTGGTAATTAAACATCTGTTTGGTGCCTTTTGAGGAAATTTCACATTGCTTCTCATAGACTTCAGTGCCATGACTTTCTTGTGTTTGTAAGTTGTGATTGTGATATATTGAATATGTGTAAAGTATTAGCTGTTTGAGTATGGTCTTTTAGCATGTTTTCTTTTGCAGATATCTTTAGTCGATTTAGCTGGTTCTGAGCGAGCAGACTCCACAGGAGCAAAGGGCACTCGTCTGAAAGAAGGTGCCAATATCAACAAATCCTTAACAACACTGGGCAAGGTCATCTCTGGTCTTGCTGAAGTAGTAAGTGTCCATTATGTCTCAATTGATATAGTAGCTAGTTGATTAAGTGTAAAAATATTAGATTTATATTGAAACATAACTCAGCCTTCCACTTTCTTTTTGAAGATCAAGATGATTTACACTTCTGATTTTTGCCTCTTTTTTTCAAATCTGTTCTGCCATAATAGGCAAATAAGGTACGTGTCCCTAGTTATAGGATCTTTTTTATTTCTCTGACCATGGCTACATAGCTCTCATGATATTAATTTTAACTGGGAACCATATGGCATCGAAGTCCCACTTACTTAAAAAAATAGTAAGTCATTGTAGGTTTCTGAATCACGAAGCTATTTTTCTTCTATTTAGTAGCCACCATACTTATTCTTTTGGTGTTTTCAGGCTTCTAAACCAAACAAAAGGAGGAAAACAGAATTCATCCCTTATCGTGACTCAGTGCTGACCTGGCTATTACGAGAAAATCTAGGTGGAAATAGCAAAACAGCCATGATAGCAGCCATATCACCAGCAGATATTAATTATGATGAGACACTTTCAACTCTTAGGTTTGTGTTGAGGAGTTTGTTAATTTGTTTAATCTCAGTGACTTGAAGAGGGGGGGATATAGCAATCATGTTGTCATGAGGTTTAATGGGTCTATGGTCTTTTTTGTGTGAATCTCTTTCATAATTATTAAAATACTGTAATACTTGCAATTTTTTTTAAATGGGTGATAATGATTAAATGGAAAATAATTGTTTGCCTTTGCTCCTGATTCCAATCACCCTGCTTTATAGCAAAAAAGTCTTGAAAGATTAAAATACCAATGGTAGAAATATGAAAGTTTGTTTGCTTGTAAGTGTTTACAAATTCAAATTTGTGGCTTATTGAATTTAATAGTTTTGAATTATGTCCACTTTGATTTTGAAACATTGGTTTCATTATGGTTCTTGAGTGATTTCTTATCATTCTAATTGTTCACATTTAATAAAGGGAGCATATTTTCTTGATAAATCTCACTGCTGAAGTGGAGTTAAATATTTTCCTTAATTACACACAGTACAGTACTGTATTCAGATATATATTAGATTCATACTGTTTCTTAATTTCTTAGGTATGCAGATAGAGCAAAACAAATTCGTTGCAATGCCGTAGTTAATGAAGATGCTAATGCCAAATTAATCCGTGAGCTGAAGGAGGAGATCCAGCGTCTACGTGAACTGCTGAAGCAAGAGGGCATTGAAGTTCAGGAAGGTAAACTGTTAAATTTGTCTTTAAATTTTATTGGCAATTGATTGTAATCAAAATTTTGCAAGTAGATGATACAGGTTTTTAACAGAGTCCTCTGGATCGACTTCACAAGGTTGATGCCCAAGAACACAGTATGATTTGCTCTTGCCACAATACGAGAATCTTCCTCTTTTAAATGCTTTTAGTGTACAGAAGGAATTGAAGAACCAACCCTTATTACATAGGAAGCACACCATATCACTGCGTATTTTAGGGGACTTACTATGTAATACGTAATTACGATAATTTCCCAACCATGCCTAGTTACTTTGCTAGTTTATATAATGATAAAAAATCAAGCTCCGCTATAGCCAGTGCACAAACCGGGTCAGCTGTCATGAGTGATTCACAAGCACCATTATTGCTGCCATCTCTGCAAATGAACATCCAATTCTTGGTCAGTCAAATATGACACTAGTGGCTGTTATCAGCATTGATGATTGAAGGCTGAGCTAATGTGGGTGCAATTTTCTCCCTAACGTCACCTACAGCAGGCCTGGATGGCAAGGTCATCTGCCACAATGACAACCGTCCTGCTGACCTGGGGTCATGTAAGTAACCTGCCCATTCACCACACCCCATATTGTGCCCACGCCTCTCAGCCCTGTATGGCTGGTTACCCCTTGCTCAAGCCATTTTGCTGTATATTTTTTCTTTGGTCTGCCCCTTTTCCATAGGGTGCCCTTGCATTGCTCATTGACTGTTTTGCCCAAGGTGCACTATTTGGTCAGAGTCAGGTGTTATGCACTCTCCCACCATGATCATTTCATGAAGACAAGCAATTTGAATAGTTAGAAGCTGATGTGCACTGTGCCTTTATTAGCAGTTAAAGTGCACTGTGTGGCTATAAGATCAATGCATGCATTGCCATTCAAATGGTGTTTATACCCATGTACAGTGCAAATTTTGAAATTCTATTCTGAAAAAAAATTATTTGACAATTGGTGTTCCTGATGGGGCGGGGCATTTTGTAGCCATAGCCAGCTTTTATGTAGACTCTCTCTCTCTTGTCACATAAACCTGACTTTATGGCTTAAGGTGTACCAGAAAGCCTTCTTCAGCTGACCATTTGTTTCTTGAACACCTTCAGTTAATATACTGAGATGACTGAGAGCAGGTGCTCAGCTGATAATAAACCAGCTCACTGCACGGCTTGGCCGCCTAAGTCTGTCACTCACTTGTGGGTGTCATTGTACTGTCTTATGCTATACACATCACATGCTTTATGCAGTAATCTTATAATCTATTTCAACTTCAATTGTTTTTTACAGGGCATAGTTAACATCTTATTTGCTCAAAATTCTGTTATGCTGAAGAAATTTATGAATCTGGGTGCTAAGCTAATTCTGTCAGCAGTGTGCTTTTATTTCTGGTACTGTAGCAAAGCTGTGTTCCCTATTTACACTCTTTATTCATAGTTACTGTAGCCATTTTTATCTTCACCGGTAATAATTTAAGTCTGTGGATATTGTATTCGCTGTTGAGTAACCGTATGTTCATTATTTTACAATGCTAGTAAAAAAAATTACTTCTCAAAAATAGTTTGAAGGTATTGTTTGTTTGCTGTTCATTATTTACTTTTAAATAAAAATGGGTTTCAGTACTGTACTAATTTCAATTCATTCACCTTTGATGGCATTTTGAGTACGGACTTCTGACCATTGTTTTGTTAGAACTGCTCATTTTAAGCAATTATTTCAACTGTGTTGAGGTTATATAGCAAGCAAGTTACACTGCCTTAATGGGTATCCACTGATCTGATGGTATATACCTGTACAGTGTTCTCAAATATGAATCGCCTTTAAAGAGGCAGTGTCTGATTGATAACTAATTTAAGAAGGTACTATTACTGTAACCTTATTCCCAACAGTTTTTAGAATCCCAAGTGGGTCACGACTCAAGGCTAATGTAGCTGATGTTTTAGATTTGTTCGTTAATGCTCTCTAAGTGGACTGCATATCAAGTTCTGTAAGTGGCATGCAAACTAAATCTTGTTCATACATTTATGACACATGCCCACAAATCATGCTTGTTATGATAATAAAATTCCTCAACAATGAAAAACCTAACCTCTCCAAGCAATCCCCATTTCAAATTAATGTATGGTCACAAACGATAAGTGTTTTCTTATCTTGGCCGGTGATGGAAATACTATAATGTTTTGGTTGCTAGATGCTGTGTTGGACTGTTTTGTTGGTGCTATATTTTGCCATCATATTTAGTTAATGGTCTCAGAAGTATGTTATTGGATCGGATTTTCAAACCGTGATCTCTTGGTTTTTGTGTGCAGGCTTAGTCTTATATTCATTGTTTATGAGGTTGTGGTACAGGATCACTTTCTGCAGAGTTTTGATGTAGGAATGTGTGTTTGTGTTAATGCTAGTGGGAAGTTTCTTGTATGATTATTTATTTTCTTATTAATTATTTTATTTTTTTACGGGGATTAACCCACCTGGGCACAGGTCGAACGACCCACAACATTGCCTTGGGGGGTTTAAGGATCATATTTTTTTTTAATTGTGGCCTCAAGACCCATTTCTACATGGCAAATATTTTTTTTTTGTATGCTTTGATTGAAGGACACAACCAATGGTTGATGTTTTAATTTTTTTCTTTTAAATTTGTGTCGTTAATATATGTCAGTATGGGACTATGGTTCTATTGATTGATGATATAATCATATTTTTCTTTGCACCAGTTAGTGGAGAGTATGACAGTTTGTAAAATAGTATCTCTTTTTTTGTATATCAAGTAGGTCATTACTGATACATTCATACCAGACTAGTGTTTATAGTGTTTATTAGAGGTGACTAGTTCACCTGTATAGTAATGAAAATACAAAAGTTCCCTGTAAAGGTTTATGATAAGGGTTTAGTTTACTTTTTTTTAATGTAATTAGTTTTTGTTTTGAATCAGGTTAATGTGGGATCAAAGCAGATTTTTTTATTTGTGCTATTTCTTCTTTTACTACCAGTGTCTCTTTTGCATATTCAAGTTGCAGTCTCTTATGCAAGGTTTTGGTAACCTTGTGCAGGTTTATTTTTAGAACACTGTTGGTCAGTAAGTTTGATCTAGCCATCTCAATTAACATTTTATTATGTTTCTCTAACTGCAGTCTTTGGATTAGATTTCTTCTCAGTTAGTACCATATGTTTGATACCAGTATCTTGGCTTACTTTCAGACTGTAGCTGCAATGCTAAATGTTTTGGATTGTGAGTGGGAAGTAACTTTGGACATTCTTCAAGCTTTAACCTCAGAAACAGAGTTATAGTTGGGGGATGTTGTGCTCTCAGATTATTTTTAGATATTGCACAGGCATTGTACTCTTCTTTACAGGCCTTGGCAATGTTCCTCAATTGCTGTGAATGTTCTTTACTGGAAAGAGTTTAACTATATTAACTTCTCAGTGAAAGCATTTGTTAATTATATGACTTTTAACCCTATTTAGGGATAAAAACTTCTTGATTCGGCAAAGTTTTATACTATTTATGTATTTGTTTATTTTTTTAGGGGAAGCTAATGTTCCAGAGCTGATTAACCCATGAACTATAGATGTATTTTTATGCCTCATTACTTGCATTTCAAACTCTGGCATCACAGTTTTGTCACTTTGCTTCCTGAGTTATGTGCTGCTGACCTTGTAATCTTTATATTAGTCCCAGAATCCTTAACTTGTGTAAACTGTGGTGGTAAACATCAGGTTTCTGATCTGTAAGCTTCTTCAGTTGATGTGACTTGCCTTTTTTATGCTTTCGGCTGCATTGCTTGGTGGTTCAGTTCATTCATTGTCATTGTAAAGTAGTTAGTGTGAATGAGAGTGATATAATAGTGAATGCTTGAGAGTATTAACCGTTGTTGAAATTGAAATTTTATATTTTCTGTGTTTTTGTTATCCGCAATACTGAATTTTAATTTAGTTATACTAAAATGAATATTACATCAGTTAGTTGTTCATTTTTGGACCCCACAGGTTTGCTTGTAAGTACAGGTACAGTACTGAATTTGTTGTTTTATACAGGATTTTCACAGTGACATTAACTGGGAGTAATATCTTTCTCTTTTAATTTAATTAGAGTTTTATCATATTTGAAATAAGATGTTTCTTTTAATATTGTCTCATCAATGTTTTATAAAAAATAATTTTGTTATAAAATATATGCAAAAACAACATTTGCTAAAGACCAAACATTGGTTATTATCTTAAAGTATATGTAAAGAATAAGAAGTACTTAAAAATTTATGTACTCTGTACCGCGTGATATGATTGTGAAAATGTGCACATTTTTGTTCTTGAAATTTTTTTTACTTTGAAAGTTATGATAAGTACCCTAATACAGTGGTCCCTAGGTTAACGAACACAATTCGTTCCACAGAGTTGTTCGTTAACCGAAAATTTCGTTAACCGAATCCATTATTTCAATGGGATATTGGGTAATTTGTTCCAGCTCACAGAAAAGTACAGACAAAGTAGCAAAAAAATGCAGTAAAGTACACTTACTTTGAGGTGTGTATGTAGAAGGTTCCTGGTTGATGATGATGATGGGAATTAGAAGTGGGGGTGGAGGAGAAGGGAGAAGAGAAGTAAGTGGGGATGGAGGAGAAATCACCTTTCAGGGGACCCATGCTTGATGCAGTCATTTCACCAATAAAATTTTAAGTTCACTAGTTGTAATTCAAGATTATTTTATTTAAATCAACACTGCACTGCGTTATATATTATCAATATGTTAACTAAATTTCAAAATGACCATTAATTTCAATGTAAAAATGCAAAAATATTCAAGACACCAACAAAATCGATGTTCACTCCATTGTCAACAAAGCCAAACAGACGCCTGGTGGCTAAGTCAAGCAACTGATGGGCACACAAAAAACTAGTTCCCTGTACTGCATATACATGTATTATCAATATGTTAACTAAATTTTAAAATGACTAATAATTTTGATAAAAAAATGCAAAAATATTAAAGAGCACAACTTTCTTCATATTTACTCCACTGGAAACGAATGTAAACATAGAACAGATTGCTGAATTCGCAGACTAGCCCATCAGCTGATCAGCTGTTGCTCACAACAAAACGTGTTGTTCGTAAGGATTTTGTTAATTGAAGTTTTGTTCGTTAACCGAATTGAAGATCCTTATCGCAGGTAATTCGTTAATCGAACCATTCGTTGACCGAGGGACCACTGTACTGTAATGCTAGCCGAGATCATGTGATGCATCATGCTTAATTCCTCTTAACCATCAAACTATGTCTTCTTTAACTTAATGTTTTCCTCCTGATCTCTTCTTGTTCCATAGATGATGAGTCTTCTTATATAAATTAGCTTTGTTGAACAAGATATAATAGAAGTTTAGAGGTATGAATTTTTCATTTAAAGGGAATCACACTAACTTGAGTTGTTCCAGACTTTATTGCAGTGTAAGAATCAATAATTAGTACTGGGTAATTCTTTATGCTTGAACATTTATGAAATAAATCATGAGTAATTACAGTTTACATTAATGATGAACTGTAGTGTATGATTAGAAAAGGGAAAGCTTCAAAGTTATATTGCTTAAACCATAAGGAAGTAAGCAGCATCTTACCTTTAGGAATTTTGCTATGATTCTCTATACAGTATTTTGATAAAGGTTACAAGATCCAATGGGTAAATAAAAAGAAACAAATTTACAGTACAGTGTAATCCCTATTGAAGCTTGGCATATAATTTAATCTGTTAATTATAGTTAATAACACTAATGAATTATGAAACATGGTTAAGGATTAAAATGGAAAATTATAAAATTTTGAATATGAAATCAGTATATTGACTTACGTAGGAATTAGGCTAAGAGAAATAGATTCTTTCTTTCTTGTTATTTGTGGAAGGTTAATTAATGGGTAGGATGGGGTTAGATATTGTTTGTGCAAATGTCATACAGTAATTTAGGTGTAGTTAACATATCATGTTTGAGATGCATGACCTACAATTACCTATGAGTATTGTGGGTCCAGGTGAAGGAATAAAGTGTATTACAGTATCCAGGTGATGAAAGTAGTCAAATTGAGGTAAGTAGGTATAACTATATACAGACCTATTTGGTATTTGAAGGTAAGTCGATAATTTTTTGAGTCAGAAAAGAGTGTTGGACTAAATGTTAAAGATACGTATTTAGAATTATTGACACCCAAAGCATATAATAATTATATACAACAGTGGGATTGACTATTATTAATGGACATTTCTATCACAGTATATAGGCATCCTTGAGTAACAGAAGGTTACATTCCTGAAAAGTTGTTCTTTAAAAAGTTGAGAACTTAAAATCTACTTAAAGAAAATGGTCAGTGGTATTATTTTTTTTAATATACTGTACAGTAATTAATTATGTACGGTATTTATTTTCATGTTTTATGGGACGCTAGTTTGAATTACAGTACAGTACTGCATCTATGAAAGAAATCTCCAAAAGGCCCTGCATCCATTTTTAGTTATGTCATCCAGTCATCAAACAATTGATATAATTTTACTTTCATGCCACAGAACCAAGCTTGATCAATTGTACAGTACAGTACTCTGTTTCTTTCCTCTGATGAGTTCTGGACTATATTATTTATCAAAACAAAATTTTGATTGTCTAACAACCAGATTTTCTCTGTGCCCATTTATGAACACACATTTTAATATTTAATTTTTTTTTCATTTGAAATATGTACTGAACATTGCATCATATGATGTGTACGTATAGTATTTTAGAGTGATATTGGTGAACATTTAAGAATCATATATTTTCTTGTAAGTAATACTCCAGCTGAATGGTTTTAGCTCTAAAATACACATACTGTATATCACATTGTTGTGGTTGATGTTGCAGCCTCATAGATGGTTGTAAAGAAAAATCTTAGCTGTTCCTTTACAAGTTCAGCATGCTTCAAATTTAAAAAAAATGACATGGCATTATCGTCAGTATACTGTATTGTTTTTGATTGGATTGATGTTACCACTTTATGTTTTCTTTTGAGAATGCAATGACCTCATGAAACCTTGTGTACAGTACAGTAGTATATTGAATTCTTGCAAATTGAACTTTTAACCTCTTCTGAGAAATATGGAGATATTCCTTATCTCAAAGTGTATATTCCCACACCCTTAAATCTCATTTTTCGTTAACTGTATACTGTACATGTTTAAAGAACTTAAATGGTAGATAAATGCTATTGAACCCACATGTTACTTTACAGCACACACTGATTGCATTTACATGCTATAACTTTTTTTTTGTTCTAGAATGGTGGTGCTCCTATTAAATATTTTGAGAAAGAATTGCTCATATTTTTTTATTTTGTTTTGGAATGATGGTGCTCCTATGAAACATTTTGAGATTTAATTGTTCATACTTTTATTTTTCTCCAAGTATAGCAGTTTGCTTCAGATTTGAAAAGTACATAAGGTACCTTGACATTATGTAGTTTGGATTATGTTTATGAGTTGATGATGTTCTTTGAAGGTAGCTTTTTTTCTATTTATTATTTTGTTATTTTGTTATTTTTTTTTAGGTTATACCCTTTCTTTATGATAACATCACTTTAACCAATCTACATTAGATTTTGGAATACTGCTTCTGTGGTGTCGCATAGCTTCCTTAGGTATTTTTAAATGGTGTTGAACTTGGTGACTGTTTAGGTAACTGATCATTTTGGAAAGCATTTGAAAACATTAATTCATTAGCTTCAAATTTGAAGCACAAATGCCCTATCATCATGCACTATACTGTACTGTACTGTTTTGGAGTGATGCTGCTCTCTATGTGGGACCATTCGAGAATTATTTGTCTTAAAAAAATTCATTGTATTAACTGATATGCTTCGGCATTATACACATAGTTGTTATATCGTGTGGCATATAAAACATACAGGTATACTTACTGTATAGTGTGGTATGTTAAGCATACAGTATACATAGGTATACTCATAGATATTGTATAGTGTGGTTCAGTATATAAAACATACATTTTAGGTATAGTTATTGTAAAGTGTAGTAAAGTATATTGTTCTGGGGTGATATTGTAGCCTTATAGCTATTTGGGGTTTTAATTTATATGCATCATAAGACTTTTTTACATCGATTTTATCCTCTTGCATATTACAATTCCTTAAATTTTACATGATCTACCTTAAACAATTAGTTTCTGCATTATGCAAACATACAAAACTTTTTAGATAAAAAATCACATTGATCTTTTGACCCTGCATTCAGCCCTTTTCATTAACTCCTTGTGAACAAGGGGTCTCTCTGTGCTGAATAAAATCATCTGGTATTAGGCAAATAAAATAATCAAATAACTTATGTCTTAGGAGGTATGTAACTAGAGAACAGAATACAGCTGGTCCCTGTTATTTGTCTCCCCATTATTCATTGCTCATCGTTAGGGGTACACTTAACCATTATTCATTGTTTACATCCCACATATTCATCATTCAGTCTATTTGCTTTGGAGTACTACAGCCACACTTGGGTTACATGAGGTACACTAACAATTCCTTTCAAGAACATTACAGCTGCTCCTCGACTTACGACGGGTTAGGGACCCAAATCCAGGTCGTAAGTCGAATTGGTCATAATTCGAAAATGCGAAGATAATATATAGGAAATCTAAAATGGGTGTCTCTTTTTCTTCTCAGCACCACAAAACTCACTTTTAAGCATGCCAGCCATTTTAAAGGGAATTACCAGCGAAAATTTTGTCAGTATACAGCGCAATCACTAACGTCATTACTAACGTTAGTATGTTCTACACTCTCTCATGCAGTGACCCATAGTAAGCATAAAAGCTCTCCATCCTATGGCATAAGTTAGTTTACCACAAAGCTGACTTTCCTCTAGAATTCAAGGGATACAATTAAAATGCTTTTTTTATTGAGGTAAGCATGGAATTTTCCAATAATATAAAAGTTTTAGAATTAAAGAATCTGTAAGCAAATAGCAAGAAAAAAAAGAGAGATATGATACAGTAATGCATTTGAGTGTGAAAAAGTGAAAGTGGGACCTGTAGGTCTTACAGCCATATAGGGACAGTGTGGATACTGCATACTGAACCTTCAGTGCACAAGATAGCAGCATAACTGCCCTTATTTCCACAATGGTAAAGCTAGGTACCTATACCCATTTACAGCTGAGAGGACTGGAGTTGCCCAGGGATTGAACCAGTAACCCATAGGACAGAAGGTGTGCAGTGTATGTTCCTGGCTATTACACCCTTCATTTAAGTGTAATAGTTGCTATAATAGTTATTTAATAATAGGTTACAATAGTATGGTATTATTTTTTTAGTTGAACACAGGAAAACTATTTGTGTTTACTCATATTTTATCATAAATTATTTTCATGATTATGCTTTTCCAGGTCAAGAGATCACCAAAGTGATGAACAGCAACAATGACAAGGAGACCCCACAGATTACCTCGCCTGTATCCACTGTTGCTGAAGTGGCTGCGGATCAACTCCATGCCAATGAGAAACTTATTGCAGGTAATGATTTGAGACATGTGCAAAGCTTATCACAGGACAGAGTGGCAAAATTGTATAGAGGTAATGTTGTTGGTATTAAGGGCAGAAGGAAACATCCAACTTTGTTGGAGTGAAAGTTGAAGCAAGACATTAATAAGAGAACAGGGGAGGGTATATGAAGAATAAGGAGAGTAAAAAAAAAAAATAAACAGCAATAGGATGTTATGGAGGCTCCTGTGTCAAGGCCATCCCCCTCAGATGGGAGCTTCCCATGGGAGTGAGACATTGGGAATTTGCTGTTGTAAAACTAATAGTTCTTAGATTCAGCATTTTAGGAATGTGGAGATGCACACATAAATTGCCGTAATTTTATTTAGTTCAAAATCCCTTGTATAGAAAACTCATTTGATGATAATGAGAAAAATGGGGGATAGAATCCCATTTAATTTTTGAGAGTTGAGTAGATGGCTTGCAATAAAGAGTTCACTTAATTTGTATGATAGAACCTCCATATACCTTTGATAAAGTAGCAGATGCGACTGAGACAGGTACCTTTACAACCATATCTGGATTTATTACCATTTGAAGCAAATGGTCTACATATGACAAGGATGTTACCATTAAAACCAGAAAGGTCTGTGACCTAAGGCAACAATGCCTTCATGTTCAGTAACTTCTGATCACATCCATAGGTAAGAGGGTGTGAAAACAAAGGTTTTTAATCACCTTTCAGTCAATAGATGAAATCTCAAAATTCAATCCCTTTTATAATAATTAATCATAAGGTTCAGCAGATGGCTCGTGATATACAAAAGCTAGATAGATCCTAAGTAGAGGAGGAATCAGAGTGCTCTTTAGAAATACTCGATTTCCTCTCTGTGCTAAGGTGAAAAAGTACCCTATATAAAATCCTCGTAGCACTTAGTATTTCAGCTATTACAACACAAATTAGCGGAGCCTTCTTTGTGCGTATTTACAGCTGATTCGCCAGGCAAGAAGATGACGGTAGCAATGCGTATGATGGAGGGTGCGGGAGGGGGTTTTGAGAATTGCAATTAAATGCCAGGTAGCGACGTGTCCTCCTAATATTACTTATTAAGTAATTATTAGATGTTTTAATTGCCTGTAAGTTGGCCTGGCGAGTTATTGCTAGGCATTAACATACCTAGGTATAAAGCTAGATGTCACATTCTGGACTACAGTATATCACAAAAACTTTTTAGAAAAAAAAAAAATTTCAAAATGGTAAAACAAGGGGAGGGGGAACATGGCAAGCACGGCGAGCCCACCTAGCTTTTTTTTTTTTTTGGCTGGGGGAGTGCATTAAGACCCTCCAGAATCTATTTTTTAATCTGACCAATATCATGGGCATTTTGAGGCCATTTTGAAGCTATGTGCATTTGATATTAGGAGATATTCTGTGTCAATAGTAATTTGATTTTACAATACAAAAATGACTGAGTACAATACTACATTAAAGAAAAAGTATTGGAATTTTATGATGAACAGGGAGGGGTCCGGACCCCCAAGGACACCCCCCCCCCCTGGATCCGCCCCTGCAAATTTACAAGTTTGTGTTATCATTAAGTTGTAAACTTGTTTCTTAGACCAATACCAGTTGATAATTGTCAGTGTGGAGTCTTTCCAAAGAAGGATCAAATAATGCTTATAAAATATTATTTTATGATGAATCTTATATCCAAAGCATTATGTAGTCACATACCATTTATTGGCAATTTTATGTATCTATTATCTTTACTGTGCTACTTTCCCAATGTTTTGAGAGGTAGACAAAAGGATACGACACCTTGAGAAGCAGGAAAATACTGTAGGAGAGTAGTACAGTATAGCAGTGTAGGGTAAGTGTTCAAATTAATAGTAAAGCACTGAAAAGAGCTTATAAAAATACTCTATTCATTATTATTAGATTCACATGTGATTCAGAATTTAATCTTTGTCACTGCTTACACATGTCCTTAGATGCAGTTTTTAGGGTTACTCCATTTTGTCAGACAGACAGTGGATACCTGTATACAGTAAATCTATTGAGAAAAACTTTAATAGTGATGACAGTAAGTATAACTTGTATGTTGAGTCTGAGGCCAAAAGAGTCATGCATCCACATCACCTGATACTGTATTATGTATAACTGTGACTTCATTTCAGTTGGCTAATCTTTCAAATATTCCCAACGTGAATGAAATATTACACAGCACAATCTTCCTTTGATGTCTTATGATAACTGAATATTTATTTGGTTCTTCTAAAAATTCTTGTTTATTGGCAGAACTGAATGAAACTTGGGAAGAGAAATTGAAACGCACTGAAAGTATACGTCTGCAGCGAGAAGCTGTTTTTGCTGAAATGGGAGTAGCATTAAAGGAAGACGGAAATACTGTTGGTATTTTCTCTCCTAAAAAGGTAAGTGTATGAAACAATTTTATCTTCATGTTAATACATTCACATAGTAAACTCTCTCCCTTGTTCAGAATGCAAATCAACAATAACAAATGTGCACCACTTCATAAAAAAACTCTCCAGCAGTCAGTGGCCTGCCACCTTGTAGTGTTTATTTTCACTATCACATGAAGTAACTTTAATTGATCTGAAGTTTGAACTGCTAACTGACACTTTTGTTGTTGACCACAGATATTAGATCAGCCTCTTCCCTCTCCTTATCTCTTGTAGTCATAATCAGTTTGGATGTTGGGAGTGCTTTTATCAGCCAGGACTTTGATATATTGCAACCATTTCTCCCCTGACTAATGAACCAAAATGTCACTTAATCTATAATGTAACCAGTCCTTTGGTAATTTATAACTCAGAGGTAGGAAATGAAGAGGAAAGGGAAATAACACTGAAAAAAAAGGAAGAGATTTCATGAATATTTGTGATGTCAAGTTAGAAGTCAGGTAAAATTTCTTGTCACTAAGGGTGATAGGTAACTGCTAAAGGATATCATTGTAAGCAATAATGTTGACCCAACATTTCTTCTATACAGTACATCATTAACTTTGCAATCTCTCTCCATGCATTTCTTAATACTGTATTGTACACCTTTTGCTTTCTTTCTCTTTCTGCTCTATGGTTACACTTCAGCCTATACAGTAGATTATAGGGAATATAGTAGCTCATGCCCAGTCCATGGGATGACATTCACATGAACCTCAAGGATTATATATACTGTACTGTATTGCAAACTGTAGATTAGTTGTGCTTATTGTGAAAATGATGTTCTATTTTGGGGTAGCAGAATATTGCCACAAATTTTGCTCACTTGAACATTAGTATCCACTACACCACACACCACTGCCCTACTTAAAGCTTGAAAACATTTCAACTTATTGATGTTATGATTTTTTATTCAACAAAAAGACTTAAAACCACTTTCCAAGTTGTTGTATTTTTCCTTGGTATTTTGTGGTCTTGCACTGCAGAAGGCATGGGTTATGTGCAGATTTTGCAGTTTTGAACTATAATTAAGTGGGCCATGAGTTGGTGAATCACAGATAGAAAATCTGTAGATTGAATCAGGTTACTCTAGACTGTAGATAGATTAAATTAAACTTCTTGTATTTATGTTTTCATATTTTTATTCATACTGTTCAGATTTATAATACTGTATTTCTTTTACAGACACCTCATCTTGTGAATCTTAATGAAGATCCCTCAATGTCAGAATGCTTACTCTACTACATCAAAGATGGTTTCACTAAAGTTGGCTCTGCAGATTCAAACATTCCACAAGATATTCAACTCTGTGGTTCTCACATTATGGCAGAACACTGCCAGTTTGAGGTACGTACCACAGTGTATCCATGGCAATGACAGTGGAGATTTTTCATAATTGGAGATTACCAAAATTATAGAGATTTTAGATGGTAATGCTTTTAAAACCTTCCTCAATTCAAGCAATGCCTGGGATAGAATTTAACTTAATAATTTTCTTACATTTTTTTAGCAAATGTTTTTTCAACTAGAAAATCAGAATTTTTCTTGGATTTAAATTTGAGTCAAGCACTTGTCTAGTTGTAATCCAAGCTTACCCAGTCTTATAACTCCTTTAGTCCTCAAATGGAAAATGGATAATAACCGATTTATTGGAATTAAGAAATTATTACATTCAGCAGAGTGGACAGTGTACAGCTACTGTAGGCTCAAGATGACAGCATCTGCTGGCGAGTACAGTATATACAGTGGTCCCTCGGTTAATGAGCACAATCCGTTCTAGAAGGTTGCTCGTTAACCGAAAAACTCGTTAACCGAAACCATTGTTTCAATGGGTTTTTGGGTAATTGGTTCCAGCTCACCGAAAATTGCCTAAATTCAACAAAAAAGGTAGAAAGGTACACTTACTTTGAGGTGTGTATGTAGAAGGCTCCTGGATGATGATGGGAATTAGAATGGGGGTGGAGGAGAAGGGAGAAGAGAAGGCATTGAGGTGGAAGAGAAGTCACCCCATGGTGCCATTTCACCCATAAAATTTTAGTTCTCTTGGTGTAATTCAAGATTATTTTCTTTAAATCAGCACTGCTCTGCATTATATATTGTCAATATGTAAAATAAACTTCAAAATGACCAATAATTTGCTTGTAAACACAGAAAAAAAGCGTTTAGCTGAAGAGTCTCGAGCAAGATGTTACCTCCACTGAAAAGACAAAAAGACTGACGCCTGTATGCTGTGTTGGCAGGCTGGATGGCGTGCCACAAACTAGTGACCCTACCTTCAATTATGTTCAATAATTGTTATAATGACTAAAAAATTTAATATTAAACTTTTAAAATTATTGAATAGTATAAACTTCGTGATATTTACTAAAAGGGTAAGGAATTTAAGCCCTAGAACTGATTACTGTATTGGCGGACTAATACTACAGCTGGTGGACCGCCAAATGCAAGCTAAAACATGTGGAGGTCGGTTCGTAAGAAACTCGTTAATCGAGGGATTGCTCGTTAACCGAAGTTAAGAATCTTATAGAAGGTAACTCGTTAACCAAAATCTCGTTAACCAAGGCGCTCGTTAACCGAGGGACCACTGTACAGTACATTACAGTAGTAGTATACATTATTTTGTTTATTTACAATATATTATAAGTGTACAGTGGTGTTTGCTTAAGTAAATACAGCTTTTGTGTCTGTTCATGCGAGGTGTGTAGCATAGACTCTTGGGAAAACTTTCCCCAGTACAGGGTGGAAAATTCCACTGTCTTGGCTGTGACAACTCCATTCATATAGATTTTTTGTTTTTTATGTATATTTATATGATCAAGGTTTTAGATAAACTATTCATGATTATTTTAGTAAAAAAAAAGTGTTTCTAACTAAATTAAAACTGATTTTATAGACTTTGGTATAAACATTTCTTACATTTTTTCATAAAGGAATGGAGCCCATCATTATATCATGTCTAAATATTTGTTTAAGGATCTTTTGTTTAAACCTTCTTGTAAATAATTTATTCAGGATCAGTATTATATCAAATTCATCTCTCTAACACAATTAGAACCGATACTGTAAATATAAAAGTTTATAAATTTTTTCGCTAGCCATAAATATTTTCTCTCGTGCCCGTAGTCTAAATGTAATGGGAGATTGTTTGTCCGTGCAAGATGATAATGCGTAGTTTAGAGTCAAGATGAGATGTGTAGTTTAGACTCTTTTAGACTCTTGGAAAACATTTTCCCAGCACCCAGAAACATTCCGGGGTTGTGGGACAGTGTCTGTTTGTGCAAGATGTGTAGTTTAGACTCTCAGAGACTTTTTTCAACATTGGGAAAAATTCCGGGATGTGGGATTTTTCTAGGGTTTAGATAGTCATCTAAATCTCTCATCCCCAGAAGAGCTCTGTGCCACTTGTTCTGGTTATTGGGAATATCACTACTTTACTGTACTGTACAGTACTCTTGTTAGTTTGGTTAAACTGTACTGTACTATTAGTTTTGGCAAACTCTTGTATATAATACTGTACTAACTTTTTTTATTATTTTCCAACATTTGTAGTGCTATTTATTCCACAAATTATCTTTAAATGTGTCAGTATTCTCTTTACAAACACCATATAACTTAATCCTCAAATTTATGTGAGGACAAGTAGACCCATCCATCATGCACACAGTAACTGAACCATTTACGCTCATGTAATAGTATATGGAAGTGAGATAAGATGAATTTGTTTTATATTCTTAAAATTCATATGCTAATTATGCACAATAAAGGTGTAGAATTGTAAAAGAATTTAGACTGCTAACATTTTTCATAAAAGAGTACCTGGTATTCATGAAGTATATTTTTGGTAGACAGATATTTTACAGTACTGTCGAATGCATTTACCATTGGTGGAACAATTATATATTAAACTAATATCTTGCCAAAGACATTAGGTAACCTACCAGCTGATGAATGTTATGAATCAGCTGGTCAAAACCTGTCTGTTTTCCCTGCATCATAATAGGAAAAGGTTTGTATGGATGGGAAGAAACTAATAAGTACAGGTAATCTAATGTTATTTTATCCCATTTCTTCTTGAAGAATTACTTTTATTTTTCAGAATCATGAAGGTGTTGTCTCGATTCACCCTAAACCTCAAGCGTTGTGCTACGTCAATGGCCGTGAAGTAAATGAGGCAACTATTCTAAAAACTGGTTCTCGTGTCATTCTTGGCAAGAATCATGTTTTCAGGTTCAATCACCCTGAGCAAGGTAAAAGAAAAATATGTATGTATGTTACTTCATAGCTTGTTTTTCCAATCCCTTTGTACCATTTCAGTTATGAAGTATGTAATTATATTAAATAAAGGACATTTTGCTTGGGCTTCTCAGCCTTGAATATAGAAAATTATATGCTAAGAGCACATTAATCAGTAACTAAAGTATGATGGATGATTATGATATTGTGCCATAAAAATCCTTTTACCCTTACAGCTCGTGAGCGCCGAGAAACAAAATCGCCTACTGAAACTCCAGGTTCAGGAGAGCCAGCAGATTGGCAGTTTGCTCAAATTGAGCTGTTAGAGAAGCAGGGTATTGATTTAAAAGAAGAAATGCAGAAACGGTTGGTGGCCCTCGAAGAGCAGTATCAAAGAGAGAAAGAGGAGGCTCAGAAAGAATTTGAAAAGGAAAGAAAGGTAATTTATTATGGAGGTTTTGTTCTGCTTTTTACTGTCAAATAAATGACACATGCATACTAGGTATTTGCTTATGGTATTTGCATTATGAACTTGTATTTCATTGGCCACTAATGTTATTGACCAAATCTTAAGACTCATTTTGAATTTTAACCTAACCATAGACATAATTATTTGATATAGTTTACACTGATTATACAGTTTCAAAATTAAATGTGGGAAACACTGTAATCTCATAAGTTTCTGTTTCCTTATCAGAATCCTTGTTGTTGTGTTTGAGTTTGATTTATTCAATGTTTTATTCCTCCATTCCAAGTTGTTGCTGCTTTGGAGAATGTGAAAGGAGTTTTACTGCTGGCTTTGAGCAGTTGTGGGAACTGTTCTGCTAGCAGTTGAAATTTTAAGCTGTAAACTTAGTCATAAGCATAACACTAAGCATAACACTTGTTAGTTTAGATAGTTTATTGAAGTTCTCCTTTAATATTTTAAATAGTCGAGTTGTCAGCTGGAATTTTTCGTAAGATGGCAGGTCAGTGGGTAAAGAAAATGCTTAAATTCACTATGGTAATGATATTTTAAATAAATTGGGCCAAAAAGTGTAAAAAATAAAGGTTAAAGTAGCTAAAAAGTCGCATGACTGCAAAAAGCTCTGTGACTGGTTGTGACGTCACCGGTTGGCTTGTGCCGCCGAGCGGGAACCTGGAGGCAGCCAGCTGTGGTGTATGTGTCGTTACCAGCAGAAATACAGGACCTGTGGCCATATACAATGTTGATATACACAGGCATACCTTATTTTTAGGTTAAAATCAATTACTGCTCAAGTATCATCGTGTGTATTTACTTGCTGGGTGCCAAAATGAGGCAAAAGACCGATAACTCCAATATGGAAGTTGTCATCACTGTTCTCTATTTTATGTCTGGAGAATGTCAGTTTTCATCACTGATGTCTCTATTTAATGTTGTGGAAGGACTAGGGATGACTATGGCCAGGAAATGGGCTCGGGATGATCAGATGACAGATGTAATTTTACGTACTTACTTCATAGCTGGTTGGTGGAGTTCTTGATAATACTCTACAATCATTAAGACATCTACTCTTGGTAAATTTCTTTCATCTACCTTGATGAACCTTCTTGGCTGATCTGCTCTGGAAATATATGTTATTAGATAATTAATTGTGCTTTACTGTGCAACACAGTAATGCTATATTGAATATATAAATATTAATAATCACATTAACTACAAATTTCATAGCATAAGTATTCCAAATAATATTGGTACTATTTTGGTTTTGGTCATCTGAGGAACCTTAAGATTCTAACTATGGGATTAAACACTTTAAACAATAAGACACATTATATCTACAGGATTTCTTTCGCAAAACATTTTTCGATCGCATAAGAAAATACAGGTCATATGTTAGGTTAGGTTCGGCTAGGTTAGGTTAGGGTATGATGAGTTATATTTTAAGTTATAAGGTTAGCTTAACATACACCGGTAAGGGGGGGTATTAACTAAAAACTAGTGATTTCCGATAGAAATGAAGGTCGAAAGCATTCATAACACATCGCAAACCATCAGAAAAAAACAGTCTGCATGTCTAAGTACAGGGATGACCAAAGCTTAGAATTTATCCAATATATCCTATCTCAAATCTAAACATCCAAATACTTATGGTAGTTAAAGTAAAATTTTACCCATTAATTAATATAAATGATGATATATCCCAGTGCATTCGCAAAACAAAGTCCAGACAATGTCATTACTTCTAAATTGACTTGTATCTCCATCTAGTACTGATATACTCGGTAAATGCACTGGAAAAAAAAAGAGAAAGTCTACCAGGTAAGAATACATGACAGCTGAGCTGGTGTGAACATGGGAGTTTTTTATGTCCATAAGCTGCTCTTCATGGCACATTTCTTCACTTACAAAATGTCCATGACTAGACCATAAAAAAACACCCTGAAAACTTACCTGAACATGGCATTTGGGGTCTGAAGAGGCCATCCTTTGTACTACCTCCGACTGCAGCGGTGAGTTTGTTGGAGAACGTCGTCTGCGGAGAAACTGGTGACATCATTGCAAATGGCAGTCCTGTTTCTAGATAAATAAACTTATCTCGACTATTATAGCAGACTTTAAACTTTCATTACAAATTATATATACTGTACAGTACCGTATCACTCTACGAACGTGGCAGAGTGTATTTCTTGTCTTTACTCAGAACCGACAACTCGTTCATTATGAAATGTTACATCTAGACAATATGTGCAAGAACATTCATTCATCAATTGTTTTTGACTCAGTCTGACTAAATGTTTTATTCACATTTGGCTTCACAAACTTGTGGTAAGTCTTGCATTAGTAGAGTTGCCAATTCTATGATACCTCTTTAACCCCTTGGGTACTAGGGGTCTCTATGAGCTGAATGAAACATCTGGTATTAGCCAAACAAATTACTAAAAGCGATTTCCCATAGTGAAGGGGCTAATAAAAATTTTAATCACACTTGTAAAACTAAAAGACAGGTCTCCAGTAACAATTAATTGAAGGATATTTGCATAGTACTTTATAGATCATAAGTCCTACTTCCTGACATAAATACAGACAGAATTGCATCAGTCACTTACAAATCGGGGTTGCCAGGTACCACCTGCCAAACACTGCACGTGTACCAGGTTCACTTGTCCCCAACTGTTCCTTGTTGCTCATGTTCCTATTGGTATGGGCCTGTTGAACATGTGATGAATAATTGGTTTGTGAACAAGATTAAAGAAAATGCAGTTGAAAGAAGCTTGGGATAGTTGTACAACATTGGATTAAAATTAGTAATAAGACTCATTTTAACACTACATAACTACCCAGTATTCATATTGCTCTCAAGTTCATTATTGAGACAGCCATCTTTAATAACTTCCAATTTTCTACAGATTTACCTCTATTTGCATCAGTCTTAATTCATTCCTCCTGTTTACTCCACAGTTATCCTCCCAGATCTTTAACTTTCCAAGGAGACATTCATTCCCCTATTCACACTGTCCATGGGACACGGTTGTAATTTTAGCTGCCAAAGAGCATGGATTTCTTGTGGCTAAAGAGGAATGAGAAGAAAACCTCTTCATGAACCATTCTTTTGCAGTCTAATTGAGACAAATAGCCAATGAATGATCGTTTGTGGCTCATGTGGTTTGAGAACATAAAGGAAGTTTAAAAGTTTCAAATATCACATGCCCCATAGCTCCCAATTGAGTTCTTTGTAATTTGTATTGGGAGGTTTGCCTTTTATCAGCAATTTGCATTTGTTGTTTAAATAGAAAGGGAATGGATTACTGTACTTGATTGGAACATGATTCCTTCTCTCTTTCCCCATGTGTCACACTAATTCTACTCTAGGCACAAAAGGGGTGCCGGAAAATCGGTGGTGTATTGTCATAGTAGTTTCTTCATTCTCCTAATCTTACCTCTGTCTCACTCCTCCATTCACTGAGATCTCTTCCAAAAATTCATGAAATAACTTTTATATTTTTTTATAACCATTTCAAGCAAAGGGTATGTTTTTGTATTAAAGTTATATGTAATTCTTACAGAACTATGAGGCAAGGATTGATGCTCTACAGAAACAGGTGGAGGAGCAGAGTATGACCATGTCCATGTATTCTTCCTACACCCCAGATGACTTCACCCATGAAGATGACATCTTTGGTGGGTTCCTCCATGTTCACTCTCAGCCCATTTTTACACTTCTTATACTTGAGAATTATTGGAAATGATATTATCTGTTTATTGCTTGACAAGATGTTAATGTACAAGGCATCCACAGCAAGTATATGTGCAAATTGAATATACAGTATATGATGCCCCTAATATAGCGCCCTTTAAGTTACTGGATGCGTTTCATATTTTCACCTTTTCCTTTATTTAACGGTGAAAAGATTCTTTCTGAAGCAATGTGCAGTCTAATGTGAATACAGCTATGAGTTTTTCCTTCAGTAGTGCATCATATTAGTTTTCATTTTGATTAACTTATGCATGGCAACTTTATTTGTGTCTAGGAAAACAAATTTATAGCATGATCCATGAGAGAGCAGTCACTCTCCAACTGGAATTTGCTTGCTACTCCTCATTGAAACTGAATAAAGATTGGTCACATATGTCACTTTTCAGCTTATCAAACTCAGAAGTGGCAAAGTATCGATTTGACACAGGTTTTAACTTGCCACAGTACCTCATGTGCATGTATCAAACCATCCAAAACTTCAGCTGGTGACACACAAGCACCATACCTTATGTCAGTCTATTATCAGTACTTGCCCAGAAAACAGTCACTCTTTCCTTGACAGTTTCTCTGGAACAGAAATATCAATATGCAAACTATTTTAAGCCATTTCGGCTTTTGAATAGCATAATCAGTTTTATTTACAGATTTACTGATTAATTACAGGGATGATATAAAGACACGTTAAAATACTGTGGGCAAATAGAATAATTGTAACACTTACTGAATGTAGAAAATGAGAGAAGTAATTGCAGAAATGGTTGCCACAGCACTTGATAGGATGAAGCAAGGAAGTTTTTTGGACTACTGAAAGTAGCAGTGCAACTGGTGAAGGCATTGGCAAATAAAGGATGGAATAACTGTTTGATATGCTCAGGGAAATGTAGAGAGTTTACATTTAGATTACCTTCTGATAGCAGTATTATCGGGCTCTTTGCACTGTTTTAAGTACTACTTTATTATACTGAGGGAATGTAAATACATAATTTTCTTTCAGAAATTCTATATTGTACAACATTCTTGGTTTTTATTGAGAAAGGATACCATTAATTTGCAATACAGTCTTGTGTTCTCTTGGGTCTAATTTATTCTTATAATTTCTGTTTATTCATATTTATTTATTTTTTTATTTACCTTTCTTCCTTATTTCTGTATTTATTTATTTATTTATCTTTTTCTTTCTTATTCTCTTATTTTTTCATTACTTAACATTTACACAAAATGTATAGAAGATGAGGGGAGAGTGGTAGAGCAAGTATGAGAAAAGGCAGAGAGAGAAAGGATGAACGATAATGTATGGAATAAGAGAAAACACGCAATACATGTAAGTGATTCACAAGAGGAAATGTGTCAGAGTTGGGTTATTATTCATTACTCACTGCATCACTACATAACAAAAACATTTATAACTATCTTTCCATCAACATTACTCAGTAAAGGAGGGAAGACTGAAACTATTCTTGATGGTTTCTTGTTTTATTTAAAATGTTCTTAAGAATGACAATCACTTTCAAAATCTACACTCTTAGCTAATCAAAGAGACCACATATGTTACAGTACATTTCAAGCAACGGATAATACCTAAAAGCGCACTTACTATACCCTTTCCACACTAACCTAGCCCATAGGCCCTGCCCCTCTTCTATGCTAATAGCTGATTAGTTCATAGAAAATTCAAACTACATGTCTTCACAATTGGTATGCAGACTTGTTATTATGTAAAATAATGTTAAATATATGGATTATCAAAATGCAAATTATTTCAAGGCATTAGCACTGTTTATTACAAATGGTCGATATATATATGCGCTTATATACGCACAGTCCTGGGGGGGGGGGGTAAAACACACAGGGGAATCAATCAGCTATTTGTAGCTATGGACGAGGAGCAGGGCTTATGGGCCAGCTTATCCTGTAAATACTATAATTATTGTTTATCCACCAGTCACTAACACCAGCCATCTTCACTGCCTCACAAACCAAATCAGGCTTTCTTTTTTAAACAATTAAGGACTGGCTCTCTAAGGGATGCTCGTTGGTTTTAGGCAATCAGCTCAACTGTGCCTATGACGTCACCTTCATAGAATACTGCAATTGGCTTACAGCATAGGGATACATGGGTACTCACCCTCACACTGGGTGTGGTGGGATGCTTTAGTGGGAAACTGGACTCTATACTTAATTTTCATAAAAAATTTCTCAAAAAACATGACATTATTACAATATGCCCTCAGCTGGTGAACTGGACAGTACTGTACAGTCATCCCTTGGTTATAGCGCACTTGGTTATCGTGATTTTCGTTATCACGCCTCCATCAAAATCTGCACACCTGCTGTTATAGCGCATTTTTCAAGCCGAGAACTTCGTTATCACGCAGTTGCTTCCAGGTGTTTTTACCCATTTGCTTCACCTACATTTATTGAGGATAAAATCTTTCACCTACAAATTGACAATAACACATTTGCTGTAATCAGACATATCAAAGTTGCCTCAACAATTGCAACCCCAGTTGCAATTTCAAATTCTGTGTCATTACTAAGGAATAACGAAGTCTCGGGTGCACTCTAAGATTGAGAGAAAACGGAGGACTCAGGCATCCTGAAGCGATGAGAAAACGGACTCTTCAGACGTGGGACTCAAATAAAGAAAGTATAGCTACATGTTTTGTGGACTACAGTATTGAGCATACCCTATTCATCACTTTGTAATAAACCTAGCCATGCCTATGTGTGTTTCTGATACTTACCATAACATTATCTATATCTTTAGTGGGTCTAAATGGTCGTAAAATGGAAAAATTGGGGTTGGGTCTTGGATGCTTGGAACCAATTAGAATAAATCCCATAAGTTCTGTACTTTTGTTATCGCATTTTTTGTTATCACTCACTCGGCACGGTCCCAATTAGGCGTAATAACCAAGCGATGACTGTATTGCAATACCGTATTTTCCACACGCTGTGCAAGGCGAGTCATAGCTGGAGGTGGATCACTTTGTAGCTTGGTTTGCTTACAAATAAAAAAAGGTGATTGCAGCCTGTAGCACCTACAGTCAGTTCTACTACAACACGATAGTTGTGTTCTTATAAAACCTCGCGTTCTAGAAATTCGCGCAATAGAAATAACAGGGCTTATGGAGAAAATAGGGTTAGGTGCAGATTACCCAAAATCTAAAAAAATTTAGTAGTTAGCCTAACACAAAGGATAGCACAGTCTAAATAAATGTTACATTCATATCTAATAATGATATGAGCGAGGCTTTTTTTTTTTTTTTTTTTAGAAAAATGACTAATTAAATGTGGGTGTTTGCTCCCAGCTGAAAATACCATGGAATTAGTGGTGGTACGGCTGTAGCGTGCATTATCTCTCACCACTGTTAAATTTGTCATGGGTTCGAGTCCTACCTGGCTTAAACACATGTGAGAAGAGCATTATCCAGTGTGGCTCAACCAAACATCATACGTAGGTTTCCTCATGTACTAACACTGGACAAATAAAGTTCATAGCAATGTAACACAGAATGGACCAACTGCCCAAACAGTTTGTAAGCCGATAAGTGGTGAAATGATAAATAATATTAAATAAAATGATCAATCAGAGGGGGATAGAAATGCAAGCAGCTATTTAACAAATTATATTCAGCTAGAACAATAATATATCAATGGAAAAATGAAACACCAGCAGTTACAGGTAATTAACAAGATATATTCAGCTTCGCTTTCTTGTTTGCTTATATTTACCAGAGATCAGCTGATCGACCGTTCACTACACCTTCTAGCTGACTGCGTGTTACATAGCGTGTGGTATTGCTCAAGTGAACACAGGGCAAGATAACCTTGAAAGGTCATATGATTTTTAAGGAGAGATTACCCCTTGTGTAATCATTTTAAGGAGGGTAGCATAAACTGTCAGTAATGACTACCGTATGCATCCTCTGATGATTGTGTTATGGAGGACTTCCTTTTTCTGTCTTTATTTACTCAGTCCACAAGAAATTTCTCTTTTCATTGAATAAGCAATACAGGTATTATATTTTAGCAAGGGAGATGTAGTCTTAAGGTTTGGGTAACTCAGTTTTCACCTCATAGTATCAGTTCACTTCTTTTAATGTTAAACAAAATTTGGAATTCTAAGGCAATTTTGAATTTGTTATTGCTACATCCAACCCTTGTTGGCTTGTGATGGAATATTAAAATTTGTAAAATCTAAACAGTAATCTGTTTAATCCAGTGCATTATGGTATTGCATCAAACAGTCCAATCAATTTTACATAATTATTCAGTGTACTGATTTTAGAGATGCAACATTTCCATTAGCACTGGAATATTAATTATTTGAGATACAGTAGTTAATTCTTCATCTTTATCTGTGAATGCATCTTCAATCATTGGAGCAATGAATTTCATGCCTCAGGCTTAAACATAACTCAATGAAAAAACCCAGCATAAATTGGGTCATACATAGAAGCTTGAAACACATCTTAATTGAATGCTCATTATAAGTTCTCCTTCCACCACATTAATTACAGGTTTGGGTGTCTTATTATATTAGGAATTCTGTCACAAGCCATATATATAGAGGCCTAATGTTTCTGAAGTATCCTTGTGTGACTAGAAGGAAATAGGAGTATTATCTAGACTTGCTCCTCTTAACTTGGACTATTCTGCTGATGGCATGTAAGGTATGACACTTTTGTGGAGCATGCATAGTTATTGGGGTGTGTCAAAATTTGTTTCAGAACTCCTTTTCATACAACACTTGATGTGCCTTGCTTTGAACTTGTTTCATGAGGATGTTGGTAAATGTCATAGGTTTGCTGTAAATTTTGATATAGAAGTGCAATAAAACCTTAATCAGCTACTTAAAGAAACATTGTAAAAGTAATACAGGTATAATGAATGCTTCTAGACATTTGAGTGCAACATTCAT